GACGCCAGCGGTGCCAGGAGCATGGCGGCTGTGCCAGTGGGGCCTGCCCAGAGGGGAGCCTCACCCCATCTACCTCTGTCCCCAGCCGACCCCGAGGCGCTGTGGCTGATGCAGGGCTGGCTCTTCCAGCACCAGCCGGACTTCTGGCAGCCAGCACAGGTGCGGGCCCTGCTGCGTGGCGTGCCCCTGGGTAGGATGATTGTTCTTGACCTCTTTGCCGAGTCCAAGCCTGTCTACCAGTGGACGGAGTCCTTCTATGGGCAGCCCTTTATCTGGTGCATGCTACACAACTTTGGGGGCAATCACGGCCTCTTCGGCACCGTGGAGGCCATCAACCACGGCCCCTTTGCGGCTCGCTGCTACCCCAACTCCACCATGGTGGGCACCGGCCTGGTGCCTGAGGGCATTGAGCAGAACGACATGGTGTACGAGCTGATGAACGAGCTGGGCTGGCGTCAGGAGCCCCTCGACCTCCCCAGCTGGGTGACCCGCTATGCCGAGCGCCGCTACGGCACCCCAAATGCCGCCGCGGCCAGTGCCTGGAGGCTGCTCCTCCGCAGCGTGTACAACTGCACCGGGGTCTGCGTCAACCACAACCACAGCCCACTGGTGCGCCGGCCCTCCCTGCGCATGGACACGGAGCTATGGTACAACGCCAGCGACGTGTACGAGGCCTGGCGCCTGCTGCTGAGTGCCGGTGCGGAGCTGGGCTCCAGCTCCACCTTCCGCTATGACCTGGTGGACGTCACGCGGCAGGCGGCTCAGCAGCTGGTGAGCGACTACTACCTGAGCATCCGCCGGGCCTTCCAGAGCCACGCGCTGCCAGAGCTGCTGACAGCTGGTGGCGTGCTGGTCTACGACCTGCTGCCGGAGCTGGACAGCCTCCTCTCCAGCCACAGCCTCTTCCTGCTGGGCCGCTGGCTGGAGAGCGCCCGCGCCGTGGCCACCAGCGACCAGGAGGCCGAGCAGTACGAGCTGAATGCCCGGAACCAGGTGACGCTCTGGGGGCCCGGTGGGAACATCCTGGACTATGCCAACAAGCAGCTGGGGGGGCTGGTGCTGGACTACTACGGCGTGCGCTGGAGCCTCTTCGTCTCTGCCCTGGTGGAGAGCCTCAACTCGGGCAGCCCCTTCCACCAGGACCAGTTCAACCAGGCTGTCTTCCAGGTGGAGAGAGGCTTTGTCTACAACAAGAAGCGCTACCCGGCTGTGCCAGTTGGGGACACGCTGGAGATCTCCAGGAAGCTGTTCCTCAAATACTACCCCAGCGCCCTGCAGCGCAGCCGGGCGGGGCCGGCGTGACTTTGGGCCGTGTCTCCGGAGCCTCCCCCGGGAGGGAGGGCAGAGATCCCGTGCCCTCCTGCCTCCAGGCTCCCACAGCTCCTGGCCTGACGGCTGTGTCCCAGCAATGCTGGAATGAAAGTGCGGAGCCCCGGTGGCCCCCAGCTGGCCTGGACCCGCCATTTCCCCTGCGTGGGCAGGACGCGCCCCAACGGGGGCTGGCAGCCAGATGCGGGACAGGCTCTGCCCCAGGGACCCATCCTGCGCCGTGCTCTGTGCTCAGCCCTGCTGGCCCCACCTGGCTGCCCTGAGCCTGTCCCCGGGAAAGCTGGGCTGCCTCAGGCATGAGCCCAGAGGCGAGGGCCCAGGGGAAGGGCTCTGCCGCTCCGGCACTTCCAGCTGGAAGCTCAGCGGGAGCTGGGACGGCACAGAGGGACAGGGCACACATGTCCCTGCCACGGGGCCCTGGCTGCCTGGCAGGGGCAGTAAGAGCGGAGAAGCAGTCAGGGAGATGGCAGCGGTGGGGAGGGCAGAGCAGCCCCTGCCCTGAAGGGAAGCAGGGAACCAGCCTCACCCCTGGTGTTGTCCTGGGCCTCCCTGTGATCGGGCGGCTGCCCGCCCCATGGATCCCAGTGCCTGCGGGGCCCCTGCTGCTGCACGGCCCTGGCCACGCTTAGTGCCTTTTGTGTCAAGAGACATTGCAGAGTTTTCTGTGGTGACGCTGGGGCCGTGCTCCCTGGGACAGGGTTTTCTGGGCCTTTTCCCCCCCCAGCTGGGGCTCAGGCAGAGCCTGGCCACGGTGCTGCCAGCCTGCGGAGCAATTAAAGGCCTGGCCACTGAGAGCTCTTTTCTCTCGTGTGTGTTCATCTCTGCCCAGTGCGGGACTTGTGTGAAACGGGGCAGGGGAGCGGCACTCGGCCCCTGAGCCTGCATAGCAGGAAAAACGCACTGCCAGATGTGTGCTGGCAGCTGGGGTGCCTGGCACGGCACGGCGCGGTTGAGGCTGGCCCCAGCTGGTGCCAACCCCCGGGGCTGCGGCTCCCCTTGTGCCCCAGAACCTCCTCCCATGGGGGGTGTCCCGGCTCCACCAGGTCTTTATCGCGGCAGCTGCGTGAGCATCAAGGCCCAGGGAGCCCAGAGCGTGGGCAGGGAGGCGGGTGGAGGGGCCTTGAGATAAGCCAGCAGACACAACACGGCATGGGGCGGGGGGACCCCACTCCCAGCCCTTTTAAACTGCGCGGCCCCCTCGGCCAGCACTGCCTGCCCATGGAGAAAACCACGGTGCTGATCACCGGCTGCTCCTCGGGCATCGGCCTGGGGCTGGCTGCGCACCTGGCGGCCGACGCCGCTCACAGGTTCAAAGGTAAAGGGGTGACGCTGCACTGGGGGGGCTGGCACCCCCGGGGGTCTCCCGAGCCAGGCCAGGCAGCACCTTGCCGAGGACAGCTGGTGCCCGGGGTGGGCTGGGGCTGGCGCCGCCTGGGCAGCTTGGCGGCACCGCTGCCTGTGGCCACGCTCTCTCCTCCAGTGTACGCTACCATGCGTGACCTGGCCAAGGGCGAGCGGCTGCTGGAGCGCCTAGGGGGCTGCTGCCCCGACACACTGGAGGTCCTGCAGCTCGACGTCACCGACCCGTGCTCACTGGCAGCTGCTGTGCAGCAAGTGCAGGGGCAGCGGCTGGATGTGCTGGGTATGGCTCTTCCCGGTGCCCCTACTGTCCCCGGGGTGGCTGGGGGGACCTCTCTGGGGTTGCTGACCTTCCCCAGGACACCGGGAGCAGATGGCAAATCATGGGATGTGACTGCAGTCCTGGGGCTGGGATGGGACGTGTTCAGCCAGGCAGGGGTGCAGGAGCTGGGCTTGGGGGTGCCGAGGGTCGCTGGCCCATCATCAGGGAAGGGCCCCCACGTTCCTATCTCCTGGCACCTCGACAGTGCCGGGGAGTGGGCAGGAGGGGTGTGGTGCCCAGCTCACCAGCACTGTGCCCAGCAGTCTGCAACGCAGGGGTGGGACTGATGGGCCCCCTAGAGACCTGCTCTGACCAAGCCATGAAGACCGTCTTTGATGTGAACCTCTTCGGGGCCATCCGCACCATCCAGGCATTCCTGCCCGCCATGAAGCGCCGCAGGGCTGGGCGGATCATCGTCTCCAGCAGTATCGGGGGTCTGCAAGGTGGGACCTGGCCCTGCTGCGGCGGGACCCCCGGCACTCTGTGGCATGGGGAGCCATGGGGATGGGACCCAGTGCTCAGGGTGTGGCTCTGCCCCAGGGCTGCCCTTCAATTCCGTGTACTGCGCCAGCAAGTTTGCGGTGGAGGGGCTGTGCGAGAGCCTGGCCATCGTCCTGCAGCCCTTCAACATCCAGTGAGTCCCGGCAGCACTGCGGGGGTCTGTGCTCCTGTTCCCCAGGCAGCAGGATGGAGGGATGCTGGGATGGGGGGTACCATGGTGGCTCACGCGCTCGCCTCAGAGCTGCTGGCCCGCTCCCTCCCGCAGCCTGACACTGGTGGAGTGCGGACCTGTCAACACCAGCTTCCTGGCCAACCTGCAGCGCCCAGACCCCGAGGGCAGCGAGCTGCAGGGCCTGGACACCGAGACGCGGGGCCTTTACCGCCGGTACCTGCAGCACTGCCAGAGCCTCTTCCGTGACGCGGCCCAGGAGGTGGAGGCGGTCCTGCAGGTCAGTCCCTGCAGGGTGGGGGGTGAAGGGGTCTGGGAGGGGTCCGTGCCTGGGGGTGGCCATGGGACCCCGGCCCCGTGGCTGTGCCAGGGATGGGTCTGACCCCTCTGCGGTGCCAGGTGTTTCTGGAAGCCATCGGCACCCCCTGCCCTCCCCTGCGCTGCGTCACCACCCAGCTCTTCGCCCCGCTCTTGCGCCTGAGGCTGGCCAGCCCCAACAGCTCCGCGTACGTCCAGGCCATGCACGATTTTGTGTTCGGCCACGGCGAGGCCGGCGGGGACCAGCCCTGAGCAGAGCCGCCGTGATGCCGGGGGAGTCGCACTGCAGTGCAGACCCCCGGCCCTGCGGTGTCCGTCCCGGCCGGGGGGGCTCGGTCCCACCGTGTCGCCAATAAAGCCCTTTGCAGCCGCACGGCTCCCGGCTCCATCCTTCTTGCCGCAGCCCCTCGCCGAGCAGCCCTGCCCAGGGGCTGCCGGGGGTTCAGCCCGGCCCCCGGGCCTCCCCCTGCCCCCGCTCCGGGGTCCCGCGCGGTTCCCCGGGATCCGGCCGCGCCCCGCGGGG